AATGTTATTACATCTGTTCCTTTCTCTGTGTTCCCAACTCTTGGCTTTCTTGGTGTCATGAGCTCAACCTCAGGCTGTCTGCTCTTATGTGGAAGGTCACTTCTCTTCCAACTGTCCCAGTGGAGGTGCAGTTCCTGTATATACCTGTGATGTTTACAGCTGTGAAGGGGAAGCTTTCACAGGCCTATGTGCTCAGCCAGGCACACTTGTCTGTAGTGTAACAGTGCCAAACCACCTCTACTGCAGTCCTCCAAATGCAGTGGTCACCCAGTGAAGCCAAGGCTTCTCTAAACAGACCAGAGGCCAGTGGGAGAGTATGTGCAGAGTGTCTCTCACACAGTTACCCAGAACTTGCTGGACACTCATCTGGAGACTGTTACATGGGTGAGGAACTGGCTGGATAGTCACCATGAAAGAGTTCTAGACAAGAGCTGAATGTCCAAGTGCAAACCTATAACTTGTCCCTCAAGGGTCCTTCCTGGGATTAGTACTGTTTAGTATCTTCATAGACAATGGGATTGAGCACACCCTCAGCAAATGTGCAGCTGACACCAAGCTCAGTTGATTCATGAGAGGGCGGAGATGCCAACTAGAGAGAGCTTGATAGGCTGGAGGAGAGGGCCCGTGAAAACATCATGAAGTTCAACAAGGCCAAGGGAAAGGTTCTGCACCTGGGTCAGGGCAATCTGCAGGTTCAGTAGGGAGTAGGGAATTGGGAAGAGCTTCGCATAGAAGTACATGGGGTTACTGATGGGTGGTAAAATGGGACATGATTTGGCAAAATGCACTTGCTGCTTAGAAAGAAAGTTGTATCCTGCACAGTATAAGAGGTATTAAGGCAAACAGGGTGATGGGCTGGTTCACCCCCTCTAAGCTCTTTTTGTGAGACACCAGCTAGATCAATCCATACAGACCTGGAGGTGATATTCCAAAAAGACATAGACCTCTTAGAGTCCCCAGACAACCATAAAAATAGTCTGTGGGCTGGAACACCTCTGCTATAATAAGGGCTGAAGGAGTTCAGGTCCTAAGGCATGGACAAAAGAAGCCTCTGTGCAAAATGCTTTTACCTTTTGAATTTATGAAGTAAACTTAAAAGAAAGACAGAGAGAGCCTTTTTACCAAGGGCTGTAGTGACAGGACAGAGGAGAACAGATTTTATGGCCCAGAGAACTTAGGAATATGCTTTCAGTTAAAGGGAAGTTTGGATGAGATTTTGAGTGTTTTAGAGTAGTGGAAAGTGTTCCTGCCCTCCTGGCAGAGGTGTGCATTCAATGACCTTGAAAGAACCCTTCCAACCAAAACCAGTGTTTGAATCTATGAAGGACTCAGTGTGGCTTTGCACTTTCCCTTTGTCAGCCTCACAAGTAT